ACAAAAAATAGAAGATTTACTGTTATGCAGACTACTGCATTAGTGTAAAAAATGGTATAAATAATATTGGCGCACTTGCAAAAGAATATTACTCACCAGTTGACTTGTATTGGACGCTTGGCATGATTTGTTTACTTTTGAACTTTGGTAAAAATCGAACATTTCTGCTACTTTGAGCTCAATTTCAAGGTACTTTTCGTTGTAAAACCAGTCAAAATCATCTCAATTTCTGTAACATGTCTTCCATTCTATAAAATGAGACCAGGAAAACTAAAATACAACAATAAATACCATACGAAAATACAGTGCAAAGTCGCTGTTTTATTCCAAAAAAACAAAGTTTTTTTTTTTTCTCATTATTAACTGTGTGCTGCAGGATTTTTTTTATACTGTGCACACTGACCACATAGACCCATTCTTTCATATGTAGGCCTACCAGCTTTCTCCCACTAGATTTGAGGGCGCTAGAATTTAGGCATACTAGTATGTCAAGAACCCTGGGTTGTAAGCCGTACTAGTACGGCCGAAACCCTCAAAGGGTTAAATGTTGCAGTGGTGTGTCTGCATAGTGTCTGTTCCTCTTATACCTGGTGGGCAATCCACACTGCCCTTGCTGCCATGTGCAGAATGATTTCAAGGAGACCTTAATTCCGTTTTGTTCTTGGGTGTTATTTGTTTCTGAATTATCACTTAGTGTACTTACTGCATCCCCTGCTTTTTACGTAAGATATTTTGCATCAGGTTTTAAAGTTCATATTCTACATGCTCTATGTTCCTTTTTGTGTGCCTTGGACAGTTTAGGAGGTATCTTAACCCTTTGAGGGTCGAGAGGCTCTCTCCCAAACTCGTTCTCAGGGTCGAGAAAATTTTGAAAAAAAAAAAAAAATTCTTATGAAATGATAGAGAACATTTTTCCGATCATAATGACACCAAAAGTATGAAAATTGATGAAAAACTTACTGAATTATGCTCTTGCGAAATTAGCGGTCTCAAAGTTGCCGATTTCGCCCACTTTGGGCCCTATTTTCGGCCAACTCCTATGTTGCAATTGACTAAAATCATAGCTATTTCCCCTAGAACTCCATTAGTTCTATCGATTGGGTACAAGAATCCACCCATTTACTGATTTCAATTACACAATAAAGTGGTCAGAAATTGGCAATTTAGGCAATTTCACACAAATTTCAAAAGACGCCAATTTCAAAATAGGGTTCAGAATAAACAAGACAGACATTCATGGCACTAAAATAACATTTTATCTGTTCATTAGTCACATCTCTAGGCCCCTCTTACATTACTTTTGCTTTCCATTTTGAATTTTTATTCTCACAGAAAATTGAAAGTTTTTTATGTATACTACTGCAGGTGACAGGTCCTTAGCTTCGAACTATAGACCAATAAGCCTAACCTCCATAGTGGGAAAATTTATGGAATCAATAATTGCCGAGGCAGTTCGTAGCCGCCTTGAAAAGCATAAATTAATCAACGAATCTCAGCATGGTTTTACAAAGGGGCGTTCCTGCCTTGCGAATTCATTAACTTTTTTCACCAAGGTATTTGAGGAGGTAGATCATGGTAATGAATATGATATTGTGTATATGGACTTCAGTATGGCTTTTGACAGGGTCCCACATCAGAGACTATTGAGGAAAATTAAGGCACTTGGAATAGGAGGAGAAATTTTTTCCTGGATAGAGGCATGGTTGACAAATAGGCAGCAGAGAGTTTGCATAAATGGGGAGAAATCAAGAGTGGGGAAGCATCACGAGCGGTGTTCCACAGGGGTCACTGTTGGGCCCCCTGCTGTTCACAATCTACATAAACGACATTAGATGAGGGCATAAAGAGCGACATCAGCAAGTTTGCTGATGCCACCAAAATAGGCCGTCGAATTCTTTCTGACGAGGACATTAGAGCACTCCAGGAAGATTTGAATAGACTGATGCAGTGGTCGGAGAAGTGGCAGATGCAGTTTAATATAGACAAATGCAAAGTTCTGAATGTTGGACAGGACAATAACCATGCCACATATAAACTAAATAATGTAGATCTTAATATTACAGATTGCGAAAAAGATTTAGGAGTTCTGGTTAGCAGTAATCTGAAACCAAGACAACAGTGCATACGTGTTCGCAATAAAGCTAATAGAATCCTTGGCTTCATATCAAGAAGCATAAATAATAGGAGTCCTCAGGTTGTTCTTCAACTCTATTACATCCTTGGTTAGGCCTCATTTAGATTATGCTGCACAGTTTTGGTCACCGTATTACAGAATGGATATAAATGCTCTGGAAAATGTACAAAGGAGGATGACAAAGTTGATCTCATGTATCAGAAATCTTCCCTATGAGGATAGACTAAGGGCCCTGAATCTGCACTCTGTAGAAAGACGTAGAATTAGGGGGGATATGATTGAGGTGTATAAATGGAAGACAGGAATAAATAAAGGGGATGTAAATAGTGTGCTGAAAATATCTAGCCTGGACAGGACTCGCAGCAATGATTTTAAGTTGGAAAAATTCAGGTTCAGGAAGGATATAGGAAAGTACTGGTTTGGTAATAAAGTTGTGGATGAGTGGAACAAACTCCCAAGTACCGTTATAGAGGCCAGAACGTTGTGTAGCTTAAATAGGTTGGATAAATACATGAGTGGATGTGGGTGGGTGTGAGTTGGACCTGATAGCTTGTGCTACCAGGTCGGTTGCCGTGTTCCTCCCTTAAGTCAATGTGACCTGACCTGACTAGGTTGGGTGCATTGGCTTAAGCCGGTAGGAGACTTGGACCTGCCTCGCATGGGCCAGTGGGCCTGCTGCAATGTTCCTTCGTTCTTATGTTCTTATTGTAAAAATGGTATAAATGATATCAGCACACTTTTGAAAGAATATTAGACTCGCCAGTTGACGTGTATTGGACGCATGACTTGATTTGTTTACTCTTGAATATTGGCAAAAATCGATAATTTTCGCTACTTTGAGCTCAATTTCAAGGTACTTGTCATCGTGAAACCAATCAAAATCATCTCTAATTCTGTAATATATCTTCGATTCTATCAAATGAGACCAAGGAAACAAGAATACAAACATAAATACCATATGAAAATTCACTAGAACGTTGCTGCTTTAAACGAAAAACAGTTGAAGTTTTTTTTTTTTCTCATTATGCACAGCGTGCTTCAGGATTTTTTTTATACTGTGCACACTGACCACACAGGCCCATTCTTTCATATGTAGGCCTGCCAGCTTTCTTCCACCAGATTTGAAAGCTCTTGAATTTAGGCGTACAAGTATGTGACCGACCCTGGCTGCAATAATGTACAGTGGACCCCCGCCTGACGATATTAATCCGTTCCTGAGAGCTCATCGTAAGCCGAAATTATCATTAGCCAAATTAATTTTCCCCATAAGAAATAATGGAAATCAAATTAATCCATTCCTGACACCCCAAAGTATGAGAAAAATTGTTTTTTTACGACATGAAATATTAATTTTAATACACACAAACTGAAGAAGACATGCACAATTACTATACTAAGAATAGAATACATGACACTTACCTTTATTGAAAATCTGGTGATGATTGATGGGATGGGAGGAGGGGAGAGTGTGGAAGTTATTGTTTAAAAGGGGAATCCCCTTCCATTAGGACTTGAGGTAGTTTTAGTTTAATATGTTTATTATGCACCCCATACCCATCCTGTGGGCGGTAGTCAAAAGGTTACAGAGGTACATAATTGGTCCAGGGACTGGACTCCAAAGTTTTGATAGCTGAGCAAGTTACAGAGGTAATGAATTCACAATTTACAAAGGTAATGAACTCACAATTTACAAAGGTAATGAACTCCAGGTAGATCTAGTCACAATCATGACAAGTTACAAAGGTATTTACAGATTACAGAGGTACGTAATGGGTCCAGGGACTGGGCTCCCAAAGTTGTGATGGCTGAACTAGGTACAAGGTAATGAACTCACAAGTTACAAAGGTAATGAATTTCTATTACGACTTGAGGTAGCAAGTCCTTTTCCGGGGTTACTTCCCCTCTTCTTTTAATGCCACTAGGACCAACTTGAGAGTCACTGGACCTCTGTCACACAACAAATCTGTCCATAGAGCTCTGTACCTCCCGTTCCTTTAAGACTTTCCTAAAATGGGCCATAACATTGTCATTGTATGGGTTGCCAACATGCCTTGCAGTAACTGTGTCAGGGTGGTTTTCATCCGTAAAGGTTTGCAGTTCAACCCACTTTGCACACATTTCCTTAATGTCTTTTTTCAATTCCATACTAATTCTCGCCCTTTTTACCACAGGGATGGCACTAGAAGCTTTCTTGGGGTCCATGGTGACTTATTTTGCAGTTACAAGCACTAAAAACACTGGGATAATGTGAAATGTACCGAATGTATGCATAGATGCGACCTCATTGGCTGGCTTGTAAACACTGGCGCTGAGGCCACACGTGGGATGCGTCCCGGATGAATCACATAAGGCTAGTTTTTTATCGTGAGGCGAGGCAAAATTTTTGCGTTCAATGTGTTGTATGGCGGATTTAACGTAACGCGATGCGTTTGTAAGGCGGGGGTCCACTGTACTTACACGTGACCAACCCTCAAAGGGTTAAGGTACTGGTACTGTCTAGACACCAGCTTTTTGGGAGCAGGGCTTGCATGGTATACATCTTTCTAGCCGTTAAGAACAGAAGTCATCTACTAATTATTATTTTGAGGCAGATGTTATTTTACATTTATTATTTATCATATGCTTCTGTATAACACAAACTCACATGAAGACAGAAAAAAAAAAAGGTGAAATGGGCCTGTATATTGGCCTCCAACTGAGGCTTTCTTGAATAGGTGCTGAAGACCTTAGTTGGAGGCTGAAATATAGTGTGCCCATTCACCCTATGTTTTGTCTCCATGTGGTTACATTATTATTCAGATTAATTGTTGCACAAATACCATCATAACTCTGTATTGTCTTATTATTTACACTTCTCTCTTTTTAGTATTTGGTGATGGATTACTATTGTGGAGGGGACTTGCTCACTTTACTTAGTAAATTTGAGGACAGACTCCCAGAAGATATGGCACGTTTCTACATTGCAGAAATGATTCTTGCTATAGGTGAGTTGTATTTTTTTTATTGCTGTGCACAGATAACCTGCACATAGAAGAATGAAACATATGATGATGTTTCAGTCTGACTTGGACCATTAACTAATCACACAATGGTGTTCCAGTCGTGGAATACACAAATAACCTGCACACAGTATCCTTTTATTCTTTGAATTACTAGAACTGTTTCCTCAAACACTCTAACATGAGGGTAATTGGCATTAGGGTAGTTCAAATAATTTATATTTTATTATGGTGATTGGTATTTGGGTAGTTCATATAATTTATATTTTATTACGGTGAAATATAGCATCTTTGGTTGATAACACTTATACTATAACTATTAGATATAAGATGTAGATAATTTGACACAGTTGGGGCCGAGGAATTAGCCATTTTGGATCTTTACAGTTTTTGGAAATTTAACATGTTCAGAAAATCTGCTGCTGCCTGTGCCAACCTTGTTTTATTGTATCTGATATTTTTATACGTTATTCACATCTTCCTAAATCCCTTCACAAATGTTACCCTGTTCATATTTCAATAGGACATCAAATCGCTAAATACATACATGCCTACTGGGTGCTCAAGCACCTACCCTTTAAAGCCTGATATAGTTAAAATCAAGTTTAGACAAAATTTAATTATAATAAATAAGTTAAAGAAAGAAATAAATGCCATTTCAGATTCTATACATCAGTTAAGATATGTCCACCGAGACATCAAACCGGACAATGTATTACTAGATGCCAATGGCCATATACGACTGGCAGATTTTGGATCTTGTCTACGACTTCAAGAGGACGGGACGGTACAGAGCAATGTAGCAGTAGGAACACCTGATTATATATCTCCAGAAATCCTCAGGGTAGGTTGTGGTTTGTGCAGAAGAGATTAGTTTGTTTTTATTAGAATTTAATAGGACTATATTTAGGTAATTAGGTAACTTATGCACTTGAACAGTTTATTTTTTCTGTTAAAGCTATCTTTCTCTTGAGCTGTAGCATTACTTGAAAAGTTCCCTGCTGCTGAAAACATGAGAAATCATGAACAGTTATTCCCCTCTGATAATGATGAGCTTTCTTGTTTTCGTAGTCAACAATTATATTTAATTTTGTTGGCCATTTACTAAAGGCACATGATAATTAAAATACGAATATTGCCACCTCATAAAAATGTTGACAGGACTATTCATTCCCATAGGCCATGGGAGAAGGACAGGTTTGTTGACAGCAGTCGTTCATTCCTTGATGATTCATGTGCTGTAAGTCTGTGTGGTGACTGGACCATTGGCGATAGAATTAAAAGGCTGAGTGGCTTGAGCAACCCCATAGCTGCTTTGTGCTTTAATATACAGGTTTAGGACAATTTAATGGAGAGACTGAAGGATGGAGTTTTGACACTGACTGTGTTGAGTGAGACAAAAGCATAGTTTGTAATTCTGTGATTTTTTAGTAAATAGTAATAAACATTGTTTCTATATTACCATAACAATGTATTATATTTCAATTTTCTTTGTTCATTAGTTTTTTGTAAAACTACTTAGAAATGTATTTTGTTGCTTAAACATTGTATACTCTTGTTGTAAGTATTGTTATACTTTGCTTAGGCCTTATTCATCAGTCAGTATTCAGAATGTAGACCAGTGTGTGGACATAGTTGAACGTTTACCCTTACCTCTTATTGTATTTCACTGGCTCATATACACATAAGTCCTTGCAATTATAAATGGAAAAACTAGTGACATGGAATTTGGTGCTGGAACCAACATTGAGACATGGAATTTGGTGCTGGAACCAACATTGGCTTTATAGTAATATAGAGGAGCTATTAGGAATATGGAATGTGTCTTGGCCCTGTCCTAACAAACACTTTATCAGTTACTGAATGTTAGATTGTATAATTTGGAATGCATTTAATGTTTGCAAAACATTTTAGTTATATTTTGTTGTGGTTTTTTACAAGGTTTGGAGTAAGGGTTGCCTCACTTACTAAATGTGTAGTTTCCCTCTGCATATTGTTAGTACTCAGTATTAGAGAACACTCTCTCCCTTCAAAAATATTAATGACCATGTCTCCAATTACTACAAATTGTATAAGATTAAATTCTTAAATTTTTTTTATACCATCACTGTATCATGTGGCACTACCTTAATCATTAGAATATTACCTTGACTTTTTCTTAATGCAAAAGTGAGATAACATGACCACAAGATTTGGGCATGGATTATCATTCTATGAACTCATCTTAACCTTTGAATAACACTTACCTCTTTTGAGATCGTAAATGTAGGGGAATAATTCCTAATGTGCAATACTGTTGTTATTTTGAAAGTATCATTATGTTTATGGAACATAATATAGCATTGAATGCTGATTAATAGCAGTATGAAGAGGGTTATCACATTTCAAGCAATAATGTCCCCTAGATAATGTAGTAAGGAAATGGAAAATATATTTAAATGTAAAATGGCAAGGACACCAGGGACCTGCCTCCTCTTCCCCAGATTCTCCGAACTCAGTAAGGCATGTTAATTCATGTACCAATTCTACTGGCTGAAGAAAGGTTCAATTATCATTTTAGTTTATTTTGTTATAACTAATGCTAAGTTTTAGGAAAATCATTTATGACATTGTGTATTGCCACACTTAAAAATTTAAAGTACTCTGTATGATAAAATGAGATCAGTACGTACATTATGCTTTAATCTGTGCAGTTTTTTGCCGAGTATTAATAAAATTTACGTTATTCATTTGTTACATTTCCTATCCTCATTTAAAGTGTATATTTTAGGTATTTGTTGTAATATTGGCAATCTTTGAAAGTCGACTCAAGTAGAGGTTTGCCTGTTACTTTAACTACTTATCTCCTCTTATGCACCCAAGCATACTGGTCACTGTCTGTCTGCCACCTCAGGCTATGGAGGATGGCCAGGGGCGGTATGGCCGGGAGTGTGATTGGTGGTCGTTGGGTGTGTGTATGTACGAAATGCTGTTTGGAGAAACTCCCTTCTATGCAGAGTCGTTGGTGGAAACGTATGGAAAAATAATGAACCATAAGGTCAGTTTTTCTTCTCTAAGTTTTAACTGGTGATTCATAAGTGTTAAATTGTCATGTGTATAATTAAATTGTAGAAATATGTATTCTAATACATTGTTGGTAAGTTTTAATGAGAGATTTCTTCAGTATGTTGCTCATATTCAGAGTAATCACTATTGTAATAATAGTAAGGGCATTATAATCATTATGAAATTAATCTTAATATTTTACAAAAATACAGTTTAGGGAATGCTGTAATTACAATTTAGTTTAGGTACTCATTGAAAAGCTCATAGAAATCCCAGTATTTTAGATAAAAACTACAGCTAATATTTTAAATTTTCATATATTGTAAGCAATTTCATCATGTCAGACAGTTCTTGAATATTCTTTTGAACATTATTGTTGTGCAGCTTTTATTTCCTTCAGGTAGACTCTTCCATATGTTGTGTCCTTTTATTTAGATTGAGTCGCACATGAGGTATATCAGATCTGTTTGTTTCTTGTGTGCAGTGGGTGTGGGGTAAGGAGACTCAAGTCATGAGATGGAACAACTTTTTACAAAAAATAAGTTGGAGAAAAGTCTAGCTTCTGTATCCTCAGTCAGATGGAGAAAAAAAGGCAATGAAGTGAACGTTGGAGTTCGCCTGAGGAGAAATATACATATATTTGCTGGCAATGCCTATATCACTGTGGTTGTTTAACATTTTTATAGATGGGGCTGTAAAAGAAGTAATTGCTAGGGTGTTGGGGAGAAGGGCGAGAGATATGTGAGGAAGTGCAAGATAAACTCGGTGAAGAGCAGGGGTGCAGTGGGCTCAATAAGGGAAAACTGCATCAACATTCGTGGCCCCAGATTATTAGCCCTTTGAGGGTCCGTCCCGTAGTTCTACGGCTTTGTAGCCTTTGGGTCCAAGCCGTTGAACTATGGCTTGAGCTCATCTCACTCAGATAAGCTGTAAGTGGTAAATTTGGGTCTAGATATGAGAGAATACATATATGTGGTGTGCACACAGTGCACGTTATGCATGCAGTGCATGAGAAAAAAAACTGGGACCTTATTTTTTATTAAAACAGCGACTTTGTGGTGCTTTTCATATGTTTTTTACAGTTGTATTCATGTTTTTCGGTTTCATTTGATAGAATATGAGATATATTAAAGAAGTAGAGATGATTTTGATTGGGTTTAGTACTGAAAAAGGCTTGAAACTGAGCTCAAACTAGTGGAAATGTTAAATTTTTGCAGATGTTTGAGAGTAAATAAATGATGTCATGCATCTAATACACGTCAGCTGGTGGGTCTAATATACAGTGGAACCTCGGCTTACTAACTTAATTCGTTACACAACTTAATTCGTTCCGTGACCTTGTTTGTATCCTGATTTGTTTGTATGCCAAGTCAGTTTTCCTCATTTAAATTAATTGAAATGTAATTAATCCGTTCCATCCTCTCAGGAGGCATGACAAAATAATGCTTATATCAACTCTACAGCTTAGTTATCTAATGTGACATAATAAGTCATGGGGACTGGGAACAAACTCGTCACCGTCCTGCCAATCCCAGATGTGGTCTGCTGGTGGGTTTGGGATATTCTACCGTGGTTGTGGTTGTGCAGGTTGTGGGAGTGTGGGGTCGGGTGAGGCTGGTTGTTGTGCAGAGTCAGCAGCGTGGGTAGTAGCGTGGCCCGCTGCTTGTGCCACATGGGCCGTGCCACCATCACTATCACCATCACTGCCTGCTCCCTCACTCGCATCATTCATACCCATCGTAACAATATCGTCATCTTCACTATCAGGTCATGGTGTAGGGCCATGGGATGTGCTCCCAGAGTTTCTCCTTCCCCTTGGAACAGCATATGAAACACCACCAGACCGCATGCTACGTCGTACATACTGCCGCTTCACTGGGGAATATTCACCCTCACTGTCATTAGAACTGCTTTCAATGACCTTGAAATCACTATCACATTCACTGCTAACATCTGGGTGTTGTACACGACCAAATAGTTTCCTCTTTCGTCCTGGTACAGGCGAACGAGAACGTGAACAAGCTGGCCCAGCAACAGAGGTGGAAGGTTGTGGGTCATATGGGTTTTCATCACTAATTACGTTATCCTGGGCACTTTTTCCGGTCACACTCACTCCAGAACCCTGGAATTCACTGTCACTGACATTTTCATCACTGTTAGAGCTATCACTTGGGAACAAAAGACCTCCAATCCACCGAGGAGTGAGGAACTTCTTACCGAGAGGCATGGTGAAAATGGACTAACAAGATGGCGTTCCCACAATGCACCGCTGGGTTCCAGATTTTTTTCACAGGGTGCACACCGACCACTAAGACCCATTCTCTCTCATGTAGGCCTACCAGGCCTTTCCCGCTTGATTTGAAGCCGCTAGAATTTGTGTGTATAAATATGTCAGAAACAGTGGCGCATAAGACGTATTTATACGGCGTAAACAGTCAAAGGGTAAAGGAATCTCCCTTGAGGGGGAAGTTCTTATCCTGAAATTTCGTTTGTATCCAGAAGCAAAAAATCGACGAAACAACAGGTCGTATTCTGAAAAATTTGCATGGTGGGATGTTCGTAAGCTGAGGTTCCACTGTACAGAGGGCCCCCGGATATAGGCCGGTGTGGAAATCGACCAATTCGGAATTCGAGCACATTTTTTGGTGAAATTTCCCCCCCCCCTCCTGGATATAGGCCCTCCGCTCAGGAATCGTTTATCATTGGTACCAGAAATGTTCACCTACCGGCGATGTACATTCTCATGCTTATCACACTCAGCGCGTCTCTCTTGTTGGGGTAGGAATGCTCCACGTGTTCGTCCATTGGTTTTTGTTTTTGTTTATTGATTGCAAATGTGATATAAGCCACCATGGTGCCAAAGAAAGTTCAGAGTGCCAGCTCTTTGGTAAAGAAGGTGATATAAGGTGAGAAACATGATATAATTCAAGAAATAAGTTTTTGCAAATTGTGTAAGTGGCATACGTGTAATAGAGCTGGCCAGGATTTATGGGAAATCTATGTCAACAATCAGTTCCATCTTGATGTTGCAAAAGGTGTAAATATGATAAAACAAAGGTCTCAAACAGTCGAGGATGTGGAGAAGTTGTTGTTGGTGTGGATCAACCGAAAACAATAAGTGGGAGATAGTGTTTCAGAGGGTATAATTTGTGAGAAGGCAAGGCAGTTGCATGCAGATCTCGTAAAGAAAATACCGTGATTAAGTGCTGCTGTCAGCGAATTTAAGGCCAGCAAAGGCTAGTTCGATTGATTCAAGAAGCGAAGTGGCGTACACAGTGTGGTAAGGCATGGCGAGGCTGCAAGTTCAGACAAACGTGCAGCTGAAGAATTCGTGCATGAATTCAAGGATTGTGTAGAGACTGAAGGATTCGTACCCCAACTAGTGTTCAATTGTGACAAAACAGGCCTCTTCTGGAAGAAAATGCCAGAGAGAACCTACATCACACAAGAGGAAAAGGCACTGCCAGGACACAAGCCTACGAAGGATAGGCTAACTCTTGTTCTGTGGAAATGCTAGTGGGGATTTAACCCTTTCAGGGTCCGCGCTGTAGATTTACGGCTTTATGTTCAGGGTCCAAACTGTAGATGTACGCCAAAATTCTAGTGGCATCAAATTTAGGGCGAAAAGGCTGGTAGGACTACATGTGAGAGAACGGGTCTGCCTGGTGTGTGTATGCCATAAACAAAAATTCTAGGCGCCCGCATAGCATTGTGGGAACGCTAGCTCAGTTACCTTTGTTCACCATGCCTCGTTGCAAGGCAGCTCTCACTCCAAGGCAAATTGGGACTCTCCTCTTCCTATCTGATAAGTTCTGACTCTGATGGAAGTGGAAATGAAGACGAATTCTTTGGCTTTGATCAGTTAGTGACCGAAAGGAATGACCGGGATATTGATAATACAGTGGACCCCCGGTATTCGATGGCATCGGTATTCGATAAATCCGGTATTCGATGCATTATATCACAAAAAATTTTCCTCGGTATTCGATTGAAAACCCGGTATTCAATATGATTCGTACGAGACCTGTCCACATGTGGCCTGAACTGCCCCTTGTGTGCCAGTGTTTACAAGACAGCCAGTGTGCGCGCATCTAAGGATACATTCGGTACATTCCATATTATCCATATTATCACTGTGTTTGGTGCTTGTTTCTGCAAAATAAGTCACCATGGGCCCCAAGAAAGCTTCTAGTGCCAACCCTGTGGTAAAAAGGGTGAGAATCAGTATGGGAATTAAGAAAGATTTTGAAGGGTTTGGGGCTAACCCTGATAAGCCTATACCAGTTGTGGAATACATTGTGCCTACTTCAAAAATTAAGGAAATGTGTGCAAAGTGGGTTGAACTGCAAGCCTTTATGGATGAAAATCACCCTAACACAGCTATTGCAAGCCTTGCTGGTGACTATTACAATGACAATGTTGTGGCCCATTTTAGACAAATCGTAAAGGAACGGGAGGTACAGAGCTGTATGGACAGTACACAAATAACCCGCACATAAAAGAGAGAAGCCCATGACGACGCCTCAGCTTCTCTCTTTTATGTGCGGGTTATTTGTGCATTGTTCCAGTCACGGTATTGTGCCTTTTTGTTATTTATTCTCTATGGACAGATTTGTTGTGCGACAGAGGTCCAGTGACTCTCAAGCTGGTCCTAGTGGTATTAAAAGAAGAAGGGAAGTAACCCTGGAAAAGGACTTGCTACCTCAAGTCCTAATGGAAGGGGATTCCCCTTCTAAACACTAACACCTCTCCCCTCCTTCCATCCCATCAATCATCACCAGATCTTCATTAAAGGTAAGTGTCGATTATTTTATTGTTATTGTAATTATTCTATTGCATTAAACTTAATATTTCATGTAGTAAAATTTTTTTTTCATACTTCTGGGTGTCTGGCACGAATTAATTTGATTTTCATTATTTCTTACGAGGAAAATTGATTCGGTTTTCGATATCGGTATTCTATGAGCTCTCAGGAATGGATTAATATCGAAT